ATAACTCCTTATAAGATGCTTATTAACATTATTAAATGTTTAATAAGACTATTTAAGTGTTAATAATAGCATTATAAACATGTTAATTGTTAGATTATAAGACATTTATAAGCACTTATAAGAAACAGTTAATAGACTGCTTAAGAACGTTAATAAAATCCTTATGAGTTTCTTACAATTGTTTATAATAGCATTACAAACACATTTTTGTTGCTTTATTAAGATTAAAACATACTTTATTATGCATTTATTAACAGTTAACTATGCATTTATTAACAGTTAACTATAGTTTTTGCAGCTACCGGATCTAAAGCGAGAACAGTGCCTTATTGATCTTAATAAATCCTTTATTATGCACTTATTAACAGTTAACTATGCTTTTTGCAGCTACCAGATCTAAAGCGAGAACAGTGCCTTATAAAGCTTAATAAATCCTTTATTATGCACTTATTAACAGTTCATTCTGGAATGAGCACTACATGTGGTCAAGGTTGATAAAATGTGAAGAAACAATTGCATAACAATATAATGTTTTAGCGGTGAAACACAAAAACACACTTTAACACAGTTCTTTTGAAATTTTTTTATTGTTGTTGTCATCATTTATGCATGAATGGCAAAGAGAACATTTTATAAAACATTGCCTAAAACAGGCCATTGAAAATAAAAATATAGAAGTAAAATCATTAATACTTTCAACATTGAGGTACATTATATATTCTATTGTATGATTTACAGTCATGTGATTGTAGCCGAGCGCAGGTAGGGCACGATAAGCACGCCATTTATCGCTAATGATGGATGATCCTATCCTGACGTGGTGTGCAATGAGTGGGAGAAGGTCTTGTCGACCTCTTCTTTCTACAAGGCGCAGCACTGGCTTTGCTCTCTTGTTCCTCTGCTGCTGCACACCAAGCATGCCGAACACCCATTTCCATCTTCTCCAAGTGCCACCGATTCTTCCTCTCCCATACTTTTGTGATAAAGCAACCAAATAAAGCAAACCAATAAAGCAAAAAAAGGAAACAGCTCATGTAGTGTAATGAACAACTTCCAGGCAAACATGCTTTTGAACTAAGTTCAATTTAAGACACAGGATCCTTTCAAAGTATTTTCACTTTTTAGAATACTGTCTAATGGTATTGTCACTGTGATAATCTGCCAATTAATTGTTGTATGTTTGTATGTTACAAACCAGTGGGTGATGTCATGGTAGTTACGTCCACTTTTTACAGTCTATGCTAGAAAGGAGTACTTGTGTAATTGTTTTATGTTATTTTTCTTTCTTTATTATTTAATTAAATGCAATCCAGTCTTTCATGAATGCACACTGGAATCAATGTGGGGCAGCATGGTATATAGGTTAAGTAGCCTGGCAAATACCTACAGACTGGCAGTGAGTCCAAAATAGTCCTTTTTTTCTTTTATTATTGTTTTATTTTTTATTTTTTTTTTTAATTAAAACCTATCTCAGTTTTTATGTTATAGTTGCACTTTTTTGTGGATGTGATTACTGATGTTTTAAATCACATGTTCAGAATGTGTTTTACAATATATATTGTACCTCAATGTTGAAAGTATTAATGATTGTACTTCTATATTTTTATTTTCAGTGGCCTGTTTTAGGCAATGTTTTATAAAATGTTCTCTTTGTGGCTGCCATTCATGCATAAATGATGACAACAAAAGAAACAAATTTTCAAAAGAGCTGTGTTAAAGTGTGTTTTTGTGTTTCACCACTGAAACATTATATTGTTATGCAATTGTTTCTTCACATTTTATCAACCTTGACCACATGTAGTACTCATTCCAGAATGAACTGTTAATAAGTGCATAATAAAGGATTTATTAAGCTTAATAAGGCACTGTTCTCGCTTTAGATCCGGTAACTGCAAAAAGCATAGTTAACTGTTAGTAAGTGCATAATAAAGGATTTATTAAGATCAATAAGACACTGTTCTCGCTTGAGATCCGGTAGCTGCAAAAAGCATAGTTAACTGTTAATAAGTGCATAGTTGACTGTTAATAAATGCATAATAAAGTATTTTTTAATCTTAATAAAGCAACAAAAAAATCTTAGTAAAGGTTTAACAATGACATAATATGTAAGTTAGTTAAACTCAATAAATGTGTTTGTAATGCTATTATAAACAATTGTAAGAAACTCATAAGGCTTTTATTAACGTTCTTAAGCAGTCTATAAACTGTTAACAAGTTTCTTATAAGTGCTTATAAATGTCTTGTAATCTAACAATTAACATGTTTATAATGCTATTATTAACACATTGTCTTATAAAACATTTAATAATGTTAATAAGCATCTTATAAGGTGTTATAAGGACCTTATTACATATTAACTAACACTTATTACAAGGACCTTAAAATAAAGCACTATTTTTTTTGTTTTTTTTTTGTTTTTTTAGTGGGGAGGGGGGGTGATACTAATTGTTGACTAACTGTGATAGACTGTGTTACCTTCTCCAGTCTGGCGCTCTGAACCGTAGTTGGGAGACACTGGTTTTCTGTAGATTATCTTTACAACTTGGCTCGTTGCTGGTAAGTAGCTCTAGGAGTCCAGACCAACTCTGCTTGAAGAATGAGGATGCAGAACTGATGTCAGTGCAGAAGCACATTTATTTCTCCTCTACAGCAGGAAAACACAGCATAACGCAGGGCCTTCTCACAAAGACTATGCTGTAACTGGAGCCTATCTAAACACTGTAAACAGACTGCAACCACTGATAGCATGAACAGTACTATTTTCACGGTGCATTCCCGTCCGTACACTCTATACGCCGTTTTACTTCCCACAACATCTACTACATCACAGCCACTGTTTTAAAGCGAAGGGCTGGCCGGTAACAACTGTGAATATGACAAGAAATGGTGTGAGACCGGGTTTGGCAACGGGTCAGTAGCCTACGTGCTCCACTCTGTTAAAACGGCGTGTTGGTTAAATGGCCCGTTCAGGTGGTATAACTGGGGCTTTACTGGTATAATGCAATAGCACCACCCAGCGGTGAAACCCGTTTACACGAAAAACATTACCCACTCTAAACGTTTAGAGATTTTTGTTCATGAACTCACCCCTAGTAGGAACCCCATACTTGGCATTGTAGCACATCCTAGAAAGCTAGATCAATTAAAACATATCAATAAATAAGGTCTCAACTGGATTACTGTTTTGCAAAATGGAATGCAATGAATGGAAAAAAATGATGCTTTTTCATTGGTAAATGAATTTGCAGCACTATAGTGCCTTGGTCTTCAAACCACTCAAAGCGCTTTTACACTATGTGCCACAATTATCCATTAACACACCCCTTTACACACTGGTGGCCAAGGCTACTGTACAAGGTGCCACCTGCTACTCGTTTTTTTATTTATTTAGTTATTTAGTTATTTAGTTAGTTAGTTAGTTAGTTAGTTAGTTAGTTAGTTAGTTAGTTAGTAATTGAGACATTCACACATTGCTCAGCCATCGGGAGCAATTTGGGGTTTAGTACCTTGCCCAAGGATACTTAGGTATGTGGACTGGAGGAGCCGGAGGTCGAACCACTGATCTTCCAGCTAGTGGAAGACTCTCTAACGCTGTAACTGCTGAGCCATAGCTGTCACAGAGAAAGGCTGACAGAGACCATACAGTAAATGGGCAGGGAATTGCAGAATCAGTTAATAATTGTCTGTGGGTTAGTCACAATGAGTGCCCCTTTGACTATTGTCAATAAAGAAATCTTCATTGGTGCGGCTTTTATGCCAATAAGTTCATTTCTTTGGTTTAACATCTCCTGTTTTTTTTTTCTCCTTGTCCTCCCAGGCTGCAGAGGCGTTTCTCGTCATGTTATTCTCAGATGCCAACCTGTGTGCCATCCATGCCAAGCGGGTCACAGTGTTCCCCCGTGAAATTCAGCTAGCCAGGAGAATCCGTGGAGTGGATAACCTGTAAAAACAACCCAGTACAGAGTGGACAAGCCAGCAACATTCTTCCTTCTTCACTCTGTTCTGGTGCTATGATACTGCATAGTTTGGAATGTGGGTTTAAATTTTCCTGAGAAAAGAAATCATATGTGTTGGTAGATCATCAGAGGTTTTATGAAAAGATACCAAGTTCACGTTCAGGTCCTTTGTGTTTGCTTCAGGTCACCTTTACAAATTGAATAAGCAGATGTATCTTTTCATACTTACTGACTAATATTATAGATCTGCTATGTTTGTGTGATATCTGTGTTGTGTTAATTTTGATATATTTTTAATGTGTACACAATGTTACCCATTCAAGAAAACTTGTTGATAAAAAGCAAATCTTTTTCTATTACATTCCTGATGTCTTAAACTGGTTTGTCATTATTTCATGTCATTACACATCTTTGTATGATGTTATCAGGAATGTTGTTTTTCACTTAAATAGAAAGGCATGCCAAAGAGGCCAATTTTCTTCAAACTCAGTCAAGGGATTGAGGGATTTTTTTTTTATACTTCCTGGTGTCCATTTGAATTTTTTTTTTTTTTTTTTTTTAAATTGGTCCTTGAGGGTGGAGATGGGTGGCCAATCAGATCTGATAATACCTGCACTCTGAGCCAGCTGGGGCACCCTGTGAGGCAGGAAGAACAGGTGCTGAACTTAAGTATAGATGCTGTAAGCGTGATCTGTCTACAATAAAATTAAAGCAGATCTCAGGTTAGTGCTCACAGATGAGAATGGGTCCGAAAACCCAGAGAAGTGAAAGCCAACAGGTAGTCTGAAAGAGAAACAGGTCCCCATGTACCCATATGGCATTTTCTGTAACCTGTTCTTTTAGGACCCTAATGGTGTCTAATTAAGAATTTGTCATGTTGCCTAGGTCAACTAATGACCTATGGGTTTCCTACTTTCTCATATCATGCCAGGAAACAAATGGAAAGGGAGGATGAAGATGTCTGTGTCCAGGATCCTTCCTACTGCCAACTTGAAGACCAGTTTTATGGCAAGCAGGTAGAGAACAACCATGCTGTCTGTCTCCTGGTCTGACTGGAGGGCATGGATCCCGGTGACTTCAACTTGGCACAAAATACCCCAATCCATGGTAGCTTATATTCCTGACAAACGATCTACCAATACAAGACCTTATCGAAGTTTACTAGGTGTGAATCAGTCAACTTCATTCTCCATCTGATGATGACATTAAGTGATGAGCTGTTTCCTCCCTGATGAGAGCAGCTGTCTTGCACTTTGCCAACTAGGTTATTGCCTCTTTACTCCCCCAGACCTAAGGTACATCTCATGTCTCTTTGTTGTAATTTCCTTGCACCTCTTGAGTCATTCTGTTGTGCCATTTCAAAGACTGTCTCTAAGCTCTTCTGTGCGTTCCAATACCCGTACTACCATACTATATAGTAAGCCAGAAATAGATTTAGTGGGTGCGCTCTGAATCACTTACTTTTTCTTTTTACTTTAAGTAGGTACTGCAACTGCCCTTGAAAAGTATATACTGTTGGATGCAGTATGAACACAACTGTGACTTACTGTTTTCTTATAACAGTACGCCCTGAACTTTGACCCTCTTACTCAAATATCTGTTACCATGGAAATAAAACAAATTGCTTTTCACCGAGTCAACCCTGACAGCTCTGCTGCTGTTGTTTTACACTAAGTACTAACTGCATCCATTGTAGACTCTAACATACTATATTCACGATAGTAAAATGACTGCAGGCTACAGTCATGGTAATCATAAGTGCAAGAAGCTTCTTCAGTTCTAAATGACTGGTACGGAGTTGCAGGCTTTAAACCCTGTGTGGGTGTGGACCCTTGCAAAGTCGTAGGGGGCAGAAACTTGTCCACCCCAAGGACAAAACACTGAGACATAAGCAGAGTAATGTAGTGTATGCAGTTCAGTGCAGCCAGGAGTGCACAGATTTATACATTAGGGAAACAAAACAACCACTCCACAAGCGCATGGCACATGAGACCCAGCTCCTCCTTCTCCTCCTCCTCCTCCTCCTTCATCTTCTTCCTCTTCTTCTGCCTCTTCTGCCTCTTCTTCTTCTTCTTCTGGGGAGGGCCAAAATACACTCCAAAAAGAATGCAGATTCTGGTTTTAATGAATCTCATTTTTGCAAATGCTAAATTAGAGATTAGGAAAAGCCAGAAAAATAATGTTGTTGGAGTGGGCTGGACTGATGCAGTGCTCTGTCTGAAGGGTTTGGTGACAGCTCGTCTGAGGGTCAAACATGCATTTTATAAACTGACCAATAATTTGAATGGTTTTAGAGATGTGTGGGCTGTTAGGCAGGTTCTGTGCTCACTGGGGAAGAATGGCTCTTTGGGGCTGAATTTTTAGAAAGGTAGATGTAGTTTTTTAGGTTTTGTGTGATTCGTGTATATGTGGAAATATTAATGTTTGATTAATTTATTCTGAAATAGGTTTTTAACCAACTATCAGAATGTCTCACAAATAAAGTTGTTTTCGAATGGGAATCTTCTGCTTCTGCTTCTGCTGCTTCTTCTGCTGCTTCTGCTTCTCCAATCAATCAATCAATTTTATTTATAAAGCCCAATATCACAAATCACAATTTGCCTCACAGGGCTTTACAGCATACAACATCCCTCTGTCCTTATGACCCTCACAGCGGATAAGGAAAAACTCACCAAAAAAACCTTTAACGGGGGAAAAAACAGTTGAAACCTCAGGAAGAGCAACTGAGGAGGGATCCCTCTTCCAGGACGGACAGACATGCAATAGATGTCGTACAGAACAGATCAACATGATAAATTAACAGTAATCCGTATGACAC